ATGTCATCTTCTTGATCATAGTTTGAAGAACGAAACACAGCAGACCTATATTTTACCCAAGTAACTTAATGGAGCTTAAGTGAAAAAGATTCCCTATGTTCTGGTTAGAATGGTACGAGGGGCGTTCAATAAGTAATGCCCCTGACACACTTCCAGATGTTTGATCCAGCTGAAATTTTGCATGTGAGGTTATTTAAATCTTCATAGATTAAATAGCAAATTACAGCTCTGAACTATTTGTGGTTTATGACTTACAGGTGTTTAACCTGAGTAAAGTCTGAAATGGAGCCTGTTAAGTTTCGAGCAGTGATCCAGTTTTTCTATTGGAAAGGACTCACACCACGGGAGACTTTTGATGAAATTAAAGCAACTTATGGTGATGATGCCCATTATATGACCTTGCAAAGTGTTTTACAAGTTTATATTATGGGACATTATCACTACACTGCAAAAACAATCCAGAAATAAGTAAAAAAATGGCTTAAAGTAAGTATATTTAGCCTTAATTTGAGCAGGTAAATAAGATGATTTGCCAATGGAATGAGTATTTTCACTCTTAAAATAAGATAGTTAGATAATATTTACTTGAAATAAGACGATAAAATAGTTTTTTCTTATTTTAAAAGGAAATTGTCTTGTTCCATTGGCAAAGTGTCTTACTTATCTCCTCAAATCAAGGAAAAACACACTTATTTTAAGAAAAAATAACTTATTGAGATTTATATTTTTTGCAGTGTATAAGTTACTTTCATTTGATCAAAAGTCTCCCGCTGTGTGCATCCTTTCTGTCAGGTTTCTGTTATAGTATTCAGTCTTGCTTTACTCCTTGTTTTCTAGTGTTAGTGGTTTTGTTTTATTTTGCTGTGTTCTTTGGTTTTTTTCCAGTTACTGTCCTAGTCTGGGTTCTATTATGTTTTCTTTTGAGTGTTTAGTTTTCTTTTCTCCATGTTTTATAGTCCTAGTAATTTAACATTGTGTTATTTTGTTGCTCTCTGCTGCCCTCTTATGTTCTCCTTCTTCACTAGCTCTTTCCCTCTCTTGTTCTGTGCACACCTGCTCCCAGTTTCCTCATTAGCCCCCTCTTTGTCTCTGTCTCCTCTAAAAGCCCTCTCTCTTCAGTTCCCCTTTGCTGGGTCCTCGTCAAACACCGTCAAACATGCTCCAACTCCTTCTCTCAGGGCCTTCCTCCTTATGATTGTGATTCCCCTGATGTCTCCATGGTTTCTGGTATGTTTTGACTAGTTTTCATGTTTTTTATTTTTTTATTTTTGGACTCCTGGTTTCATGTTTGTTTGGACTTTGTTTTCTTTTTGGATTTTTTTGGATAACCTGCCTCTGTTTTCTGTTAAGTCATTATTAAATCCACAATTAGTTAAGAGCTGTAATTTCCTATTTTATCTATAGAGAATTAAATAATTTCACATGCACAATTTCCGGTCGATCAAACATTTGGAAGGGGGTCAGGGGCATTACTTATTGAACGCCCCTCGTACAACTGTTTGTTTTGGGTAGGACAATCAAGAATAATAGTTTTTCTTTTTTTCCAAAGTAAAATCAATGACTTTATTGATTTTTACAAAAAGGAATCAGGCTGAGCCTCGTTCTGCTGGATGTGTTATGTTATTAAAGTGAATTTTTTCTCTACTATCACACATGCTGAGTAACACAATGAGAGCCAATGTCTACTGTTGCCATCTGTTCCTTCAGAAGGAGCAAGTCTGCAAGTTAAAGACTGAACTTGACTCCACTGTTTGACAATTAGGGTCAGTTATAGCTTGTGCTAGATTTGGACTCTTTTGGATTTAATCAGGTTAACACTTTATTGTGCTTTAAGTATCCAGGAAAAGTGTAAAATCCTTGCCTATATTTTACATAATTTAAATCAGCGGGAGGTTAGCAGCTGGTTGACATTTTCTGAGGAACTTAAAACGCCCAAATTAAGCAAACGAAGTCCAAATCTTTCCTCCTTCGGTCACAGAGGTTTTAGCACATCTGCTAACACCAGCAGCGTTGTTTGAATTAACAAATGTGCCATGCAGTTTTGGGTGTGGGAGGTCCAGCAGCTGGAATGTAGAACAGCTGGGCGTCCCATCTTGGCAGATGAGTCGAGCTGTATGATGGCGAGGAAGAGGATGGATCCTTCTCTTATCTGTGAGAACCTAGAAGTCAGAGGATTTTCTCAGAGAGAAATTCTCCCCCTTCAGCTGCTGTCTGTCATTCATCATTCACAGTGCTGCTGTTTCTGCCCAGCTGTGTCGTTGATCACCTCAACGTTGCTGCTCACTCTTTCAGAGTTTGTTGCTCTTATGCAGGAAGGCGTAATAACGCATGTCATGGTTTGTAACTGAACCACACATTCCCCGGTTTTTGCCGTGGAGAACCTGATTTATTTCTTGTCAGCTGCAGGTCTTTTGTTTTCTGTCACAACATGGCTACAGTTTTCTCACAGCGTCATCTAATTTGTCAGCTGTGCTTTTTTTTTTTCAAAGCTTTTTCCCACAGTAAGAACAAACCATGTGTAGTGAAGGAAGAAGTGCCTAACTACCTTTTACAAACCAATCAATGTTTAAATGCCTTATTAAAAGAAATCCATTAACCAATCTCAGATAGAGGAAGACAATAGATGATGTTTTTATATAAAAAGTGTAATCAATGTTGTTAACAAGTGTAAACAAAGGAATTTCCTTCCTTTTAAATTGATTTTATACCTCATTAACAGCTGATAATCTTACCTTCCATACAAATCTAAATGAGTAAGGACCCAAATTAATGTAGAAAGGCCAAAGAAACATTTACTCGGCAGTCTGACCCAAACTAAAAGAAAAAGTCTAAAATCAGACAGGAAACAGCAGGATCTGATAGAAAACAGAGAAAAAAAAACCAAGTCCCAGAGAGAAGGAGGACAGATGGAGTGTTGGAGAGGAGAGACATATGGAGAACTGAGGAGGTGAGTGAAGGAAACTAAAAAACCAAAACTTTCCCTAAAGGCAAATAAACTGATCAATCCAGGTAGGAGTTTGTTTTAAAATGACCAAACCTCAACATCATGATAATAATACTCTGACATGTCTAGTGGTTCAAAGATCTGGTATAAAATAAGTGTATCATGGAGTGTTTTTTTCTACTTAAAAATAGGTAAAATAACAATTTTCTGCATTACTCTCATTTACTCAAGTAGTATCAAAAGTTGATGTCTTTTATTGTGATACGTCAGATAACAACACAAAGTGGGAAAACAACAGGAAGTACGGTAAAAGGAAAAGATTTATGGGTGCCAAACTTATTTCTTTACTATCAAAAATCTTTAAAGTGTGGCATGTATTTTGTCTTTTTGATGATTCTTTGCAGAATAGCTCCAACTCAGTGACACAGAATAGAGAATATATGTAAGATTCATCTATTCAAATCTTACCACAGATTCTAACTTTGATTAGGCCATTTTAGCAAAATTAAATGTTTTGATCTAAATCAGGGGTTAGCAAACTTAGCAATAAAATAAAATAAAACATTTTTATAAAAATTTTATAAATACCTCCAAAACAAACTGTGTTTTATAGTACGACAAATGATTTTACTAATTTAATTTTTAGGCCTAAAAAAAAAAAAATATGTGAACAGAAAGACAATGAATATTTATCTGAATTTAACTTTCCATGTTGTTTGGGGCATATTGACTAAGATTATTCTCTTTATTTTTGAAATCAGATGATACTGGAAACAAAAAAGTTGATAAAATTATCCTTTTTATTATGTTTTTATTATGTTATATTAAGAATTATAACAAAGTTCCGTACAATATTTTGCCAATGGCATAAAGCATCTGTGAATGCCCTAATGACCTAAATAGGACTCTCTGGATGTGTGTTTAAAGTTGTCCTGCTAAAAAGTAACCTGAGATTAAGTCTTCTGCAGCATCTAACAGGGTTTCTTCCATGATTGTCCTTGGCTGATGTCAATATGTGTCTCCAAATGCTGGGAGGTTAACGTTGCTGGCCACATTTGTAGAGTTTCATTAAAAACCATATTAAAAAGAGGCTAAATATGAATAAAAGCTGCACTCTTCAGATTTGAATTTGGAGAAACTTTCTAATTCATCCTTTTACTTTGAATTCAGATTCTCACTTCCATCCATCCGTTTTATGACACGCTTTTTCCGAGCTGGGGTCGCGAGGGGTGCTGGAGCCTATATCCAGCTGTCTATGGGTGAGAGGCGGGATACACCCTGGACAGGTCGCCAGTCCATCGCAGGACATTACAGAGAAAAACAGAACAACATTCATTTACACACACACTCAACACTAAGCAGAATTTAGAGAAGCCAATTAACCTACCATTCATGTTTTTGGATTCTGGGAGGAAGCCGGAGTACCCAGAGAGAACCCATGCATGTTCAGGGAGAACATGCTAATTCCATTAAGAAAGACCCCAGGGAATCGGACCTAGAACCTCCTTACTGCAAGGCAGCAGTGCTACCCACTGCAGCACTGAGCAGCCCTCACTTTCATAACATGGCAAAATGTGAAAAAAGATTTATGAATATGAGAATTTTCAGCTTTATATTGAAGAGTAGTGGGTAATTTTAATATGAGCCATTTAATTAATTCATAGAAGCATAATATATTGGACAAATTTGCCTCCTTTTTTATCAAAATTGTTTCTCTAAAGCTCCTCTTTCTTTTTCATTAACATTTTTTCTGTTCTAGCTTGCAGACCAGAACATAAACAACTGAAGCACCAAATCAGGTCTTGGTTCTGAAAGCATGAATTTAATCTTAGAAAGGTCTAGTATGATGGTATTGCTGAACATTTCAAGCTACGTCTGCAGGTTGTTAAGCAGTGGTCCCATGGGAGGTAGTTTTTTAGTCATTAGGGGAGGAGTCTGTGTGTTGGGGAAACTGAGTAATAGTTTCTGTCATCACATCTTAAGCCCCCCTCCACTGTCAGGCCTCCCCCTTTGGCCTAATCACAGGGAGGGTCTCTGAGCATTTCATGTGTCTGTGTTGCCAGTCTGTGGATGCTCAGTGGCCCATGAACAGCTTGGATTTAACTGCTGGGCGGCTGGCTAACAGGTGGCGTTTAGAGGAAACAGTGGGAGCTCTGTGCAGAAGGGGAAAGCAGCATCATGCAGCAGATCAAGACATGGTCCCTTCTCCTGGTTCTCTGTGCTGGATGTTTGGACGCTTGGTTTTACAATAATAAACCCTCAACGGAGAGGCTAAAGGACGCAAAAACAAAAGATACCACCACTCCCACTGCTGTACTGATGAGGGAAGGGAAGGAGGATGGTAACCTGTCGGATGTTGGGGAGGAAATCCTCAAAGTAGCCACAGGAATCCGTAATTTAATCGATGAATGGGATGCAAATACAACCGCCCGGACTACAACTGGAAACCAGACAAGGATGATGGAGACAGCAAAGCCCAACATTACAGATGAAACAGGCAGGTTAAGAGGGGAAGGGGTGGAGCAGAGATCCGGGTTTGGGGAAGAGGATCGGTTAGCGTCAGGCGATGACTCTGGTGGTAGGTTAGATATTTCCAGCACTATCACACCTTCAACATCACCTTGCTTCCCTGTCCCAGCTGCTTGGCCAATATGTAAGCAACCCAAGTTTTTCACGCTGCCAAACTTTTTCAACCACACTTCTGTGGAGGAGGTGGAGGCTGTCCTGAATAAATGGGTGTGGCTAAAGAGGGCCAGCTGTCACCACAGTACGGAGTTGTTCCTCTGCCTCCTGCTGGCACCCAGGTGCTCCCTTCCTGCTTCGCATCTTCCATGTCGCAGCTTCTGCCATGTGCTGCAGGACAGCTGCTGGGGGTCCCTGGAAAACAGGAGTCTCCCGGTGGACTGTCACCTCCTGCCGGAGAGCGAGCAGGAGTTCGAGACTCCTGGGTGTGCGACTGTTAGTAACCAGAAAGGTAACCCCGGTGGATTGAAATGTATCTTGAACGCCGATACATTTCGAATCTGATTAGGTTTTTTTGTGTGTCTGTTGTTTTAAGGTCATAGGAAAATCATATTTAATATTCAATTAATTCTGGCTTAAACTTGTATATATAAATGTACTCTTTATCAGGTCATATATTCCCAAAAGTTTCTATTTAAAAAAAATCCTGTCTTAAAATCTGTGGGGGGGGTTTTCGTTACCTTATGCAGGCCAGTTAGTTATACGTCAGCTTGTACACCTAAATTCGGCCAATCATATATTAACGGTCATCTGTCAATCAATTTTTTTCGGTCATAGCATCGTGATTCATATGTTGCAGCTAATATACGCAACGGTTGAAATAAGAAATAATAATTTAATTTCCCGTCCCAGTGTTCACGGGGATAGACGTCTGTGTCTTCAGCAGGTGAAGCGCTAACAGAACTGGCAGCGTTGCGAAGCAAGGGCTCAAACATGTACAGCTGTAAGCCTTCTACACCAAACCAAGCTTCTGGCGCCCTGGCGTCCTCTTCCAAAACATCTTCATCCCCACTTTCCTCCTCTAGATAAAAAAGAAAACTCTCCTCCTCTTGCATGTTTCCGCTGTCCATAGCGTTCCTTGACAGTGTCGTTGCTAAGTGCTACTTGGTTCCAATATAATTTCCCATTGGGAACCTACTAGCACTAAGTTGCTAACTGGTTAGCAAAATGCTTTGAAGAAACCGGTCCCAAGCGAACATGCTTGCAAACTTTCTGCCACAACAATCCCGCCCCCTTGATAATCGACCAATCACATTCACTTTATTCACTCGTGTAAAGTCGGGCACCACTCGAGAGAATTCGGAAATGCATCAGTTGGAACAGCCGCTTCCCTACGACTTTAAATGTTATTTTTCGACTTGTCTTATGACAATATATTTAGCTAAAAATATCAACCATGGAGCAATTTAAAACACTATGTTCAGCACTGACTATTCTGATATGTGTCTAATTTCATATGGATTTAGCAAATTTTCTTCGACTAAATGTCCAAAACTCCAACGCATTAATGCCACTGATACTGAAATGTGTATTATATATCAAATCTAACATGTTAAAAGCCCAATTAAATAATCTAATCAATTTAAAATAGTAATCTTAAATAAGATAAAAGAATACAAAACAGTCTAGTTCAATATGGCGTGCCTGGAGACCACCCTTGAACTATTTAGATGTATATCTTATGCAACGAACCTAAAAGACATGGTTGTATCCCTCATCGCCATTCATTCATTAGGCTGTACAGAGGCCTTGTAACCGCTGGTATCAGATCTGCTCTGCTGGTCAGATCAGATCAGACTCATGCGAGTGGTGTTACGCTATATAATTGGCTAAGCGTTGCCATGATAGCGTAAAACATTGTGGTTGCCTGGACAACCATAACAGTGAAGTGTCTATGTGCCGAGTCGAGAGAATCCGTAGTTTTAAAGTGTCTAATGACCGATTAAGTTTTTACATGATTGATAACAAATCAGGAAAAAAATTTTAATGGTGAAAAAAGTAAATGCAAGACCATGGTATAAAGGGGAAGAGATGGGTAGCGCTGTGGCTAGGTGTGCTCAAAAGGTAACAGGTTAGCCTATTTTAGCTTGATCAGTTTCCGATATTAAGCCATACCTTGTCTCGTCTGACTCAGGTAGGGTGGAGAACAGGTGCATCTAAACGTGGCAGAAAAACCGCACTGGAGGATTGGAGCTGAATGTCCTTGTGCTAAACAGATGGTATACTTTGATATATGACTGAAGTAGGGTGTGGTGTGGGGAAAAAGATTACTTTATCGTGCCCATGAGATAACTTCTGTATGTTCTGGATTCTTGGTTTCCAGGCATAAAATAGCACTAAGTTCCCTTTGATCACAAAGCCTAGTTACAATCCCTCTCTCAGACGGATAGCTTGAGATAAAGGCATGGAATGCAGCATTTAGGTGATGATTCAGCTTTTTTAAATTTGGGTTCTTAGTGATTTATTATTCCAGAGTTCTAGCAGTAATCAGTATTGGGTTAATCAACGATTTAACAGGGAGAGGCAATGAATATTTCAAACCCAATCTTGGTTGGTTTGCATAAATTTTTCGTAAATAAAAAGGAGATATTTATATAAAATGTCATTCAATCTGCAAAACTCACATGGAAAGAAAAAGAGAATTAGAAGAATTTTAGTGATACAATTACTTTTGTCTTTGGTGCTCAGACCATGGCAGGAAACGTTACCGCTGAATTTTTGCTTTGATATGCATACACATGAATAAAGAATAGGGCTGTTTCCCCCCAGGCCACTGGTGGAGTGGAAATAGAAGAAGTTGGTCAGTCCATAGATTGCAGGTTGGCAAAACAATGTGCTTAAGCTGTATGGAGAGATCCAGTGGACTGCATGAGCTGACACTAGTGCTTCACTCAGGGACCTGGAAGGTAGAAGTCCAGCTTGGATAACACAGGTTGAGAGAACCTGTCCATGATGAGCAAGCATGAAGCGACAGTGGAGAGGAAAAACTCCCCATTGGGAAGAAACCTCTGGCAGAACCAGGCTCAACATGGTGGTCTTCTGCCGGACCGGTTGAGATGAGAAGGGAAATGCAGTACGTGTCGGGGTGGAATGACACTGATAAAGCTTTAGCTACGATGGCGGAGGAGAGGATGGATGGGGTCATTTGAATCGAAGTCAGACATAGAGCAACCACTGCCGGTGCTTTAAGATGAATTCTAAATGCTGATTGGGCTAAATGGAGGTGTGGATCAAAGCTGATTAGATTGTGTCAGAGGCAGATGAGGGTAAGTAATCAGTTTCCTCAGTTGAGCTTCATTTTCTACATACTCACATTCTTGTTTGATTAGCTAAATAAATAACTTCATAGCACTTCAGATGGTTTGTAGAGAAAATTTTGGGATTTATAAAGCCAAGACACTGACCTGCTAAATAGTTTATATTTTAAGAGGAAACCTTTCTTAAACACAGTTTTAATTTATCAAAGGTCTCCTTGTTGGCTGCCTTCAAATGCAGGCAACAAAGATGTAATGTATATATATTTGATTCTTTCAGTGAAACGATGACTGCATTGGTACTGCTAAAACATGTTAAACATAACTGCATGCTGTTATATGAATGTATAAGCAGAAAGTACATCATGACACCTGCTGGTTCTGATTATGCTGTCCGGCCCAAAATGCTTAGCTGCATATGATGAAACACCTTAGTGTGTTCTCTCAAGACTCTTTAACTGCCGTAATTCTTGTTTCTCAATACAAAAAAAAAGTACTTTTGCAAGCATAATTTAAGAGCTTTTCTTTTCTGTGTATACTCTGACGGGATGTGATGCAATAGACCCGTTTCCTGCCTTTTAGATACTCCATAAATTTAGCAGCATCGTGTTGGCGGATAATTTTCAGGGTTGACCTCTGAACTGTGCTCCATAAAACTGTCAGAATGTGTTTTCCCACAGGAACAGTTTGTGCACATGCACCGAAATTTAATAGACAGATGTTCTGTGTTTGTGTATTTGTGGTTGTTTTAAATAAAATTTAGAAAATGTAAATAAATTAAAATATTATCATTAAGAAAATAGAAATATTCCTGTGAAGCACCAGGATTAGAAACACGTATACGCTTTGGTTTTTGTGGCTTATGGATAACAAACAAAAAACAGGAATAAATTAGAGGTAAGAGATCAGAATCTTTCACATCCTTAGTCTCATATATAAACTATCCTTCCTCTTCAAAAGCCAAAGCAATTACAGCTTCAAAGTTTGTCTTAAACTGCTTGCACTGAGCTCTAACTCTTTTTATTCCTGCCATTTCTGTTCACTCCTACAGTAGTGAGAATCTTTACATCCTCAGCTCATCTTGCAGCCTTTTTGTCAATGTTTCCAATTTTTTTCTTTGCATAGCAGGCCAACTTGCAAACCTTTCCTTTCTCTCTTGCTCTCTCTGTTACATCTCCTTCCCTGACACTGCCCACATCCACTGCTTTCTCCTCCACATCTTACATTGCTTTAGCTATTAGACTCAAAGTGCTTAAACTTTCCATCTTCCTACCGCTCAGTTCTTGCTGCTCAATCACACAAATAATTTAAGTGTTACTGTGAGACACTTTGATTTATCTTCCCTCCAGAACAGCTTCCCACCTCTCCTGGCCTTACCCCTCCAGATCCATACACATCACAACGTCATCTGCAAAGTATTTTATTAGTCTGTGTAGGATTGCATATAGGCCTAGCTTGCCACAGTCCCACTCAAGTGTAATGGCAATCTCTACAGTAACTAGTTGTGAAAAAGATGTCTGCCTCCACAAATGGGAAGTGACTCCTGCATAATTAAAAATAGCTATTTCTAAGGCAAGGCAAGCATGAAGTTTACATAGATATAGATAATATATTACATTTAAATCAGCAAATCTCTAAAATTATCACAGACTGTACCTTTGAAGTTTATATATGACTGGTTGTCATATTATATAAATATATTATCATTTATTTTATGTGC